AAAGGCGGCGAGAGCGGCGGGCGCGGCGAGGGCGACAAGCCGGAGGCCGTCCAGGGCTGCCATGTGGCCCTCTGCCCAGGTGAGAGGAGGAGGAGGAGGTGGTGGCACTTGTGGGGGGGGGCACACTGGCAGGGACCAACCCTCTTGCATGCCTCCCACCCAATCTCGGCTTCAGGGGGATGCCAGCAAAGCAGGTCATGTTGAATGTCCCTGATGCTGGCAGACAAAGGGTTAAATGCCAGCCAAAATATTGTGCTTTTCTGGTCTTGGCCCTGATATTTGCTGTAGATGGTTTTTTGGGTTTTCTGGCCATTTGGAGATGCAATGAGCTGAGGGTACGGGGGAGATGGGCACCTTGATGTTCATCTCGGGGTTTTTTGGGAGGCTTAAGTGCTGGGCCAACTGGGTGCTCCCCAGGGGACCTCGTTTTTAAGGACATCCCTTAAACCAAAAAAATCCCCCACCAAAACACCCTCCTAAGATATTTTGAGTGCCCCCAACCTCCTGTAGCGACTGGGCATTGTGACGCTCTCTCCGCAGGGAAGCTGTCCGGCATCACCGCCAGCACTGACGCTGGTGACCACGGCACGCCCAAAGGGCAGCGGGTACCCCAGGACGGGGCCAAAAACCCTGTTAGCAAGATCTCCTCCAGTAAGTGTCCCTGCTCGGGTAAGGGCGACGCTTCCTGGGATAACCCTCCTGAGGGCTTCTGCACCTCCAGGTGGGAACCGCAGGTGGCTGGGAGGGAGGATGCACATCCAGCAGGGATTTTGGGGAGTTTTAACCTCCGCTGCTGCATCCTTGCTGCCTCGGCTTGCAAAGCCTGCTGCTCGGTTGCCATCTCGTGGAGTCTGGGATCTTGCACTTTCTGCTGCCTTTGGCTGGGCACAGTGTTGCACTCCCTTCACCTCCTGGATTTTATGCCGTTTCCTTTTTACCTTGAACTTTTTTCAGCCTCCTGTGTTTACCCAAGCAGGCAGATGGCTTCTGGCTTTTGCCCCTTGCTCCAAGCAAGGGGTTGCTTAGAGCGCTTTGTAGCTGGGGTGGGATGCATCACGATCAGATTTCAGAAGCTGGTTTGGAGCATCCCTTGCTCTCTGTTTTTTCTCCTGTGCACAGAAACCTCGAGTGCTTTGGCTTTGTTTTCCAACTCCCTCACCCCCCTTCCCATACAAGCATTGCCAAAATTGCTGCCCTGGGGCAGAGAGTGATAGCAGGTTTGGCAGCAGCCTGCAAGGCGGGCACCTTGTCCTTTGGGACCATTGGAAAGGTGCAGGGGTGAGAGCCTAATGCTGCCCTCGCCCTTCATGTTCTCTGATGCTGCTCCCTGCTCTGTCCCTCTCCAGGGGAGCCTTGCCTCGGGGACAAGTCCATCTTCTGCCAGATGGAGGTCCTGGCCCGCTACTGCTCCATCCCCGGCTACAACAAGCTCTGCTGTGAATCCTGCGGCAAGAAAGCCTCCTCCACCACCGGCTCCACCCCCCCCCCCGACCCCAGCACTCCCCCCGGAACCACTGCTCCCAGCCCCTCTCTGCCGCTCTCTCCC